GACAGGAGAAGGGCTTTAGGAGAGATAGTGGTGTTCCATTTCTTGGACTGGGTATACTGCTTACCCTGAGGAGTTCACTTTGCATATTTCCTTAATCTGTTCAATTATGATTTGGGCCTTTTTTGGTGTGCATGGTAGACCAATAAAATATTTTTAAAACTCTGAGAATCCTAGAGGAAGCACATTAACATTTGAAAAATAACATAGGCATACTCCTTTTCCTTTTTTTTTTTTTTTTTTACTTTACTGGTTTATAATTAGTTGTGTATTATCCCTACTTTACCTAAAGCTATTCACCTCTTTTTGTTATCAGAAAACAGTAAGTCTGGAGTGTTATTAATTTTCTGAAACTGGTCTTTGTTCTGATGTCCACTTATAAGTCTGCTTTTTTTATTTTCCTAAACCACTTGTATGAGATGACATTTAGCCTTCTTAATGCTAGGCTTATTTATTGTTTATTATATGGTGCAAAAGCCTGACTATTTCCTTGTCTTATAAAGTAGTCCCATCTGGGCATTTATATGTTGAAATGCATATTATTTTATTAGAAATTACTTTTCTCCTTTACAAATGGCATTATTTATGAAATTATGCATGACAGGTTATGTTATCCATGAATTTAATTAGGATAATAAAAGGGACATTACCAAATAATGTGTTACTCAAAGTAGGACTTGGTTTTGGATTATTTTAGGATTCAGAACCTCTGATCTAGAGAATAGGGGTTCTGCTGGAGAATAGATGTGTCTTCAGAAGGTGGAAGAAGGAGAGGAACATAGACTTTCTAAATCCCACATTCCAGACTTAAGTACCAGCCTCTCTCGTCTGGTCGTAGAGGAATGAACACAGGCTTTGAAGGCCCTCAGAACTGGTTTCCAACAGGTACTGGTGTGTCATTTACTAGCTACATGACTTCGTGGAAGCTACTTAACCTTGATTCATCTATAGAAAGGCACTAATTATTTCCTGCCTCCTTAAGGCTGCCTTGGGAATTGAAAGAGGTAACACCAGACAAATCTTACACAGCAAATGACGAGCCTATATTGGCATTTAACAAAAGTTAATGCACTTCTGGTCTACCACCTCCATGCCCAGAGCCACAGGTAAATCCCAGAGCACCTCTGTGCAAAAAAAAAAAAAAAAAAATTGCCCTTTCATCTGTATGGGTGCTGTGCCACATCTTATCAAGGCTCAGGATTTGGTAAGAAGAGCAATTCCCCCTGCCCTGCCTGGATCAGGGCTTTTATGAAATCCTGAGCATACCCCCTCTCTTTCCAGTTAGACTCCCATGTGGAAGGAATGCGTTTTCATAGATGTACAGGAGTTTAAGAACATGATTACCTTCAACAAGCTTCCAAAGATCTGGATGGGTGATCCATGGCAGGATTTTGTCATTCATGTACTCAAATGGATCAGATGGCTTGGACTTTGAAGATCTCCAAGAAGCTTTGTACCCAATGTCCCCATTGGAGGGCCTTTGAACCGAGCTGTTTCCCTCATTTAACAATGGCTCCATGAGTCACCACTCTCATAAACAGACTTTAACCAAGAAGAAGAAGGGTGTAACTCAGACTGGCTGCTAAGCAGTAGCCCCACCCTTGAAGTCCTCCAGGTCATTGTGACATTGCTCTCTGAAGGGCAGCATTAGGGTGAGAAGGAAGCCAGAAAGCTCCCTCTTTGAAAATCAGTTCTAATTATCTACTGCATAATTTAGGGCAATGTTTTCTCACAAGATCTCAATTCCCTCACCTATAATGTGGGGATAATAGTCACCACACAGGAGATAGCCTATATAAAATAGTCTCATGCTTGGAATACTCTCCTTGTTAGTTCCTGTCTCCCTTCCTGCCCTAACCGATTTATTTATTTAACAAGTACGTATGAAACTCTTGTAATATGCTGGCACCACTCTAGGCAATGGGAACATAGCAGTAAACGGAAATCCTTATCCTCACAGAGGTTAATTCTACTGAAGGAGGCAGACAATAAAAATGGTAAATATGTAAATTGTATGATATGGCAGGTACCAAGAGAAAAGAAGCACAGGAAGGGCAGAAAGAATAAGGTTTCAATTTTAGGCTGTGCAGCCAGGAATGGCTTCACTGAGAAGTTGGCTTTGAGGAAGGGCCTGAAGAAAGTGAGGTCAAAAGTCAAATGGAAATCTGAGGAGAGTGTTGTAGCTTGTACAAAGGCCCTGAGGCAGTAACATGCCTGGACTATTTGATAAACAGAAAAGAGGCTAACATAGTTGAAGTGGAGGGAATGAGAAAAGTCAAAGGAGGTGACAAGAAAGCCTTCACGGATCTAGAGCTGGGTGGTGCCTGTCCACTTCTTGCATGTAGTAGATATGTAGTAAACATTCATTTGATTGGCTCATTAATATGGAAAAGTAGCTGGAAAAATGAGGGACACCATTTTTTTAAGCTACAGTAATTTCTGTATTCTAGAAATGGTGACAGAATCAATTTTTACGGGAAAATAATGATAACAGAAGAAGGTGTTAGTCTGGGAAACCACTTTGATTCAGCAGCTGGCCACTGTGTTGTTCAAAGATGCTTTTCCTCAGAGTCAATGGCCTCTTTCATGGCCTTCACCAAGTCCAGTTCCCCGCATCCTCATGCCCCCTCCTCAGTGTTATTTGCCATAGTAGTGACCTAAACAGAAACTTCTTCCAAAAAGTAAGCCCAAATTTCTATGCTCTTCTTACTCTAGGCTTTCTTGTTCTTTGGTTAGAAATGTAATTATATTAATAATAATACCGAATTTTAATGACCTTTGCTTTTACCTGCTTATTGAGGACACTCCCATATCTGTTTTTGATCTCTAAGATATGTCATGTGAGCTCTCAAAAATCAGTACATCAGCTACAATCATGAGTGCAATTTTCCCATGTTCTGTAACCCTATTCCAGCCCTGTCTTCTCCATGGTGAATTTAGATGTCACCACCTCTCCATCCCTGCTATAAACTTCTAATGGCTCCACAGCTCAATTGCAATAAAATACAAACTTGTAACCATGTTTCAAGACCTTGTGTCATCTGACCCCTCCTATTTCTTTCCTGTGTCCACTACCTCAGTGCAGCCCTGCTCTTTTTTGTTCTAATCTGCCATATTCATTTCCAGCTCAAGGACTCTGTTGTTGCTGCACCTGTGCCCAAAATGCCCTCTTCCCAAATCTCAAAATGACTGGTTCTTCTCGAATGTCAAGGCTCATCTCATTTGGGACCTCCCCACAGAGGATTTCCTTTTTTTTAAAAAAATTATTTATTTGCAGGGGGGGCGGCGAGGAGGGGCAGGGGGAGAGGTTGAGAGGATCTCAAGCAGACTCCAAGCCTGAAACAGGGCTTGATCTCATGACCTGAGCCAGAACCAAGAGTCGGACACTTGCCCGACTGCACAGAGGCCTTCCTGGCTGCCCAAACTAAAGTACATTCATCTCCTTGTCACTTGCTATCACTGTTACACTTTTTTTCATTTCTTTGTTTGCCTAACACTCTCACCATCAAAATATAACTACCAGAAGGGTGGAGTCTTTATCTTATCTACCACTATGCCTTTAGTACCAAGAATATTATCTGGCACATAATAATCCACTAAGTGCGGTGAATTCATGAATATGTTACCATTACCCAGAAAGCGGCCTGTGTCTTATCATTATCCCCAAAGTGGCCATCTGCTGTGTAAACATGGACGTCTGTATCAAGGGAGGTGACGAAGCATCGTAGTTAGGACTGTGAGCTCTGAAGCCAGCCTGCCTGGCTTGGGATCTGGCTCTGCCACTTATTAGCTGGGTGATCTTGGGCAGGTGACCTAATTCCTCTGTGCCTCAGTTTCCTGGAATCAATGTTATCTTCCTTACAAGGTTGCCAGGAGAATTAAATAATAAAATACATGTAAAACACCTAGAACAGAGTTTGACATACGCTAAGCCTGCCAGTTTTTAGGAGCCATTATATTAGTTAGGATTCTGCTAGTTGCAATAAAAGCAAACTTAAGCCAGCTGAAGCAGCAAAGAGGAATGTATTGTATAGGTATAGGTGTGTTTCACAGAGCCCAAATGCAGAAATGCATCTGGGTCTCAGGAAGGAGCTGGAATCTAATGGTGGACAGCTGTCAGTAAGTGTCCTCCGTCTCTTGTGGTGGCTTTTCTCTGTAGCTCCCCTTTGCTCTTCTTGCTCTGGATCCAGAGCAACTGCCCTTCTCCACAGTCTCACTACAGCTCTTGAGTTTAAATATCCCAGGGCAAGCCACTGTGGGGTATGACAGCCACTCCGTGTTGTCTGTTGCAGATTTCACGGCTTGATGATCTGATTAGCGCTCTTGAGTCTGACGTTCATCCTAGTCAATCAGCCAAGCCAGGGGAGGAGAAGATGCAGTAAGGCACGGCAGCCAGGGAACACAGCCATGGCTTCAAAGAAGAGGACAATCTCCTGATAGAGGAACACTGCTGGTCCACAGGCTGGGCGGACATCCCCAAAGGGGTCCACGGCACAGATCTTCACAGCACCTGCTCTAGGAGGCGCCGGACCAGCTTTGGGATCTCAGCAGATAGGGACAGAATGCCCTGGGCTGCTTCTTTTTGAGGAAGCCACACAGGCCTGTACCCATTCCGTGTACCACGGAATCACTCTGGCTCTTTCCTGAGGACAGTCACCAGGCTACAGACCTATCTTCTTCATGTCTTCATCCCATCCCAGCACCAAACATTCAAGCATCTCCTCCTGACAGCCTCTAACCCTCATGCAGAAGGCAAATGGATGCAACCTAGGCAAACAGAAGATGGCAGGCTTGCTGGCTCCCCCACTTCCTCACACACTCCCCCTTTGGCCACCCTCTGCCCCTGAGCAACTTGTATGTTCACATCTAGAAAGCTCCCCTCCTCCACCCCCCAGCAATCACTTACAACCAAAAAGACTCATGTTTAGACTGACGGCTTTTATTGTAGAACTGTAGGTAGGAGCAAGATGTACTAAATGAGGAGACTTGGGAATGCAGACAGGTCAGATTCGCCCCCAGTTGCAGCAATCACAGCTGGTGTCAAAGATGAGCCCAGCCTCAAAGTTCTGCTGGTACGTGACTCCATTCAGGCAGTGCTGGAAGGCATTTTTGTTATTCGCCACAGGGTAGAGGCCATTGGCCTTTCTGGCACAGAATCCACTGCCCCCAGAACTGCCCCCAGAGCTGCTGCTCCTGCTCCCACTTTCACTCCTGGGAGGAGTTATGGGCTCCATGGGCTGAGCAGGGGCAGTGCAACCTAAACCAGCACAGAACAGTAGAACAGACTTGTGGACCTGGAAGAGGTTCCCACCGTCGCCTGGAGGCGAGGAGACTAGTGGCCCTGAGGAGAACGTCTGGAGGTGGGGTGCTGTTAGCACTGGGTCCCTACAAGTGAGGAGATACAAGATTACTCCATACTCAGGAAAAGCTACAATTTCAAGCCATTCTAGTTTTAAATCTGAAAAGTTCTCTCTTCCCTTAAGATGTTAACATCATTAAAAAAAAATTACTGAGCACTACTATGTGCAAAATACTTGCCTAGGATCTGGGTATAAGTGGCAAGCCAATAAGCTTAGAGATTATTCCAGAGAAAAATCTGGAAAAAATTTAGGGATGTGGTATTTCCCCTGAACTACAGATTAGAAACATGTGAGCAGTCCTGAGGGTTTCTTGTTCAGTCTCCAGGTGGGCCGAAAAAGACTTTTAATGAGGGAGGAGTTCATAGAAAAGTAAATGCTTATATATTGAAGGTCAACTGAATTTCTTGGGGCTTTTCCACAGACTTTGAGACTTAGCTGACATGGAAAACTCACCCAGATAGGCCTGGTTTCTCATAAGCTCATAACATGCCTGACCTGGAAGTTCAAGGGTAGAGGAAGAATGGAGCCCGTGTGTCTCAGCTGGGCAAGAGCAGGGAGGTGAAATGGGAAGTGACTCCCAGGCCAGTGGGGGTGGACAGATGTTAGATTTGCCTTTTAAGCTGGAGAAGCAACAATTGTATACCCCTGGCATCCTTCTCTTTCACTTACCTGCACTCTGCAGCCCAAGTGTTTTCTTCAGGGTGTTGACCAGGGGGAGCTTGCCCTAGTGAAGTCATCCAGGTCAATGGCCCAGACCATGGCACCTCCAAAATTGTTCTCCTTAAGCGACTGAGCCTGTTCAAGGATAGAGGACACCAGAGGTCATTTTACTTCCCCAGACTCACGGCTGGGCCTGCAGCAGGTCAGAGGGGCTGACCTTACCTTGATACTGAAGCTCTTGACGTCATCATAGCCAACCCACTCATTGCCCTGATAGGCATAGGGCACAGCCTGAGGAGCATCCCATACCTCAGTAGTTTCATTTTTCAGGAAGCTACAGGTCTTTAAAAAGTCAAGAGATTCAAATCTTTTAAACAAGATTCCCATGAAAGGAGAAACAAACACTTGCCTATTTTATTTTTTTTTTCTTTTATGTCTCCAATTGGGATTTTCCTGTTTTCTAATTATGGGTTGTTATTTGAAGTAAACAGTACGAAGTTGCTTTTGAAATAGTCCTGTTAATCTTATCCTTAATGCTTGATTTTGGGAGACTACATTAATTTGAAAGATATCGTTCTTTTATTTCCTTACACGCTCATATAAATGACCTTAAATATGTAGTCTGTTGCTTGAAGGGATATGACACATTATAGGTGGCCTTCCTACTGGATTAGGTAAATGAATAGGTTACTTAAACTCTTGAAACATTTTAGAACGATAGCTGTATTTTAAATAGATAATTAGTGGACAGGATGAGCATTCATTCTGTTCAGCACAAGACATGGAATTCACAGATTTGTCCAGCCTCCTCTCCCTACCTCATAGTAGGCCCAGAACCCAGCCTGCCTGGTGTAGGGCCCCGCAGGACCAGCGCCAGAGGTGGGGACACCGATGCCAGTGTTGGAGGAGTCACTCAGGATGAAGGTGCGGCCATAGGTGGGGAAGCCAACGATGAGCTTCTCAGCTGGGGCCCCATTGTCCTGCCAGTAGTTCATGACGTAATCCTGCAATGGCTGCCCGTTAGCTAGGGGCTCCACCTCGCTGATGACCCCGTGCTTAGTTGTGTTAGTCCACTGTTCTAACAGACACAATTGTATGATGTTAATGACAGATAGATAGTAGTTTTTCAAAGCATTTTGGCGAAATTATAGTTAATGAGATAGGCCCAGCCGCTAGAAAGGATAGTTATCCAAATGAGACATTTGCAGAATTTTCATTTGTTTTGTCCGTGAATTTCCATGTGATGTATAGCCTTATCTCTGCTCTGCATCTGCATGTGTCCAAGGAACCACCACATTGAGGTCGGCATTGCTGCCCATGTCAGTTGGGTATTTGTATAGGGGGCTGTTCTCTCCAGTGTAGCCTTCCCAGGAGCCGTGAGTGTCATAGGTCATGACATGGATGTAGTCCAGGTACCTGAGCTGGTTAAAAAGATTTGTGATAGTCATTTCCCACACCTATGTAGGTGAAAGGTACCACTTCCAAAGCCTCCTAAAGGTGGTCCCTGAATAGCAAGACAGACTGAGGACAAGTCTACCTTGCAAAAGTGATAACTACAGGAGTTTGAGGATAGGGTGAATCACTCACTGGGCCAGCTGAGGGATCTCATAGCTGGACTGGATGTTGGAGATGCCAGCCGCTACCGCAGCAGTGATCATCAGCCTGGGCTTGTTGATCTGCTTGGCCTCCTGCTCAAAAGCTTCACGCATTTCCTATAGAATAATCAAGTACTGTAGGCCATCTGTGCCTCTGATTTCAGCTCCTTAAATAAGTAGGTTTGTATCATCCTTTTCTTTTTCAAAATGCTTTCATATATTTCATCTTACTTCAGTCTCTCAATATCACTATAAAGTAGATAGGACTGATGGTATCAGTCAATGTTATAGCTATCTAGTATGAACAGAAGCTAGACAATTTCACCAAAGTCCCACAGCAAGTTAGTAGCCAGGTCATGCCCAGAATGCAGGTCCCAGATGACCCGTCAGAGCTCCAATTATATCCCTATACTCTGAACTTAGAGTTGCTGTAGTAATCTATACCCAGGTTTTGACAATATACATGTTGCTTCCCTTCATCCAGTAAGTGAATTACTTTACAGGACTGACATCTCATCAAATGAAATGCTGAATTGGCCAATAAAGGAAGTGGTTACAGCCGGCGGATGGGTTCCCATTCAGCACTGGCAGCTTTATTCTGGGTGACTATAATCCCATTTGGAGGACTGGGTTCAGGGTTCAGGGTGTGCCGGGGTGTGTTCCAGTGAAGGGTCTGAAAATTGTCACGTGACACTGGCCAAAGGAACTAGGGTGTTTAAACTGGAAGAAGAGGAATTATAGACAGGATGTTATAACAGTCTGCAAATATTGAATGATAGATTACAAAAGGTGTTTTGTCCTTTGTTACTTTGGTGAGCAGAGCTAGCCCCCATGACCGGAAGTTATAAATTATGACTGGAGGTATGTTTTGGCTAAGGACAGAGATGTTCTTTCTTTTTTTTTTTTAATTTTTATTTATTTATTTTTAATTTCTTTTCAGTGTTCCAGAATTCATTGTTTATGCACCACACCCAGTGCTCCATGCAATACAAGATGTTCTTTCTGATCTCTAGAGCTGTTCAATAAGTAGATTGACTTTCAACTGATTAGTTACTTAATATTGAAACCATTCGGAGGCTGGCTGATGATCTGGTATATGGGATGGTGGAGAAAGAGTCTCTGTCTTGGGAGAGGGTAAATCTAAAAACTATTCTTGGCTTTTCTTTATTCACTTTTCCTTGGTAATCTCTTAATTATCAACCTTTGCTGATGACTTCAATATGTCTTGAACTCTAGATTGGTACTCATTCAGGGACTACTGGCCATTCCTATAGGAGGTCCTACAGATTCCTCTCACTCTTGATGTTCAAAGGCACATTAATGAGCCCTTCTTATTTCAAATCTACTTTTTAAAAATTTTCAGCATAACAGTATTCCTTGTTTTTGCACCACACCCAATGCTCCATGCAATCCGTGCCCTCTCTAATACCCACCACCTTGTTCCCCCAACTTCCCACCCCCCACCGCTTCAAACCCCTCAGATTGTTTTTCAGAGTCCATAGTCTCTCATTGTTCACCTCCCCTTCCAATTTCCCCCAACTGCCTTCTCCTCTCTAACTCCCCTTGTCCTCCATGTTATTTGTTATGCTCTACAAATAAGTGAAACCATATGATAATTGACTCTCTCTGCTTGACTTATTTCACTCAGCATAATCTCTTCCAGTCCCGTCCATGTTGATACAAAAGTTGGGTGTTCATCCTTTCTGATGGAGGCATAATACTCCATAGTGTATATGGACCACATCTTCCTTATCCATTCGTCCGTTGAAGGGCATCTTGGTTCTTTCCAGTTTGGCGACCGTGGCCATTGCTGCTATAAACATTGGGGTACAGATGGCCCTTCTTTTCACTACATCTGTATCTTTGGGGTAAAAACCCAGTAGTGCAATGGCAGGGTCATAGGGAAGTTCTATTTTTAATTTCTTGAGGAATCTCCACACTGTTTTCCAAAGTGGCCGCACCAACTTGCATTCCCACCAACAGTGTAAGAGGGTTCCCCTTTCTCCGCATCCCCTCCAACACATGTTGTTTCCTGTCTTGTAATTTTGGCCATTCTAACTGGTGTAAGGTGATATCTCAATGTGGTTTTAATTTGAATCTCCCTGATGGCTAGTGATGATGAACATTTTTTCATGTGTCTGATAGCCATTTGTATGTCTTCATTGGAGAAGTGTCTGTTCATATCTTCTGCCCATTTTTTGATATGATTATCTGTTTTGTGTGTGTTGAGTTTGAGGAGTTCTTTATAGATCCTGGATATCAACCTTTTGTCTGTACTGTCATTTGCGAATATCTTCTTCCATTCCATGGGTTGCCTCTTTGTTTTCTTGACTGTTTCCTTTGCTGTGCAGAAGCTTTTGATTTTGATGAAGTCCCAAAATTTTATTTTTGCTTTTGTTTCCTTTGCCTTTGGAGACATATCTTGAAAGAAGTTGCTGTGTGATATCGAAGAAGTTACTGCCTATGTTCTCCTCTAGAATTCTGATGGATTCCTGTCTCACGTTGAGGTCTTTTATCAAATCTACTTTTCTTCTTGTATATATACTTTAGTTATAGGACCACTACCAAACCAGTCCTCAAAGTCAGAAAACTGGAAGTCCTGTAGTTTCCACTTCCATTTGGTGTCCAAATCCTATTGATTGTATCCCCCTAATGTCCCTTGCTTACTTGCCCTTTCTGTCCTCACTGTTAGGATGTTTGTTTGGGCCATCAGCCCTTTATCCCTGCCTTCCTTGTAATTCATCCTTTACGGTTAAGCCAGAGTTACCTTTCTAAAGCGCAATTTTGTCATATCTCTCCATTACTTTCAAAGCTACCCATAACCCTGAGAGGAAAAATCCAAATTCCTTAACATCATCTACAAGTCCCACATGATCTGATTTTTGTCATGTATGCAAACTCACAGTCATCCACATGGCTTCATTCGTGTGGTTCCTATCTTCATTGCTAACACCAATTGCTTTCAAGACTGAGCTCAAGTGTCACTTTCTCTAGAAAACTCTTCTAGATCCTTCCCCAGAGTAGAATTAGGTACCCTCTGTACCCACTATAGCATGCTCAAAGCATATTTTAAATGTTGGTTATTTTTCAACCTGTCACCTCATGTTGTATTCCCTAGAGCCAAGGATTATCTTATTCTTATCTTCAACCTGACACCTAATCCAGTGACTGGGACAGAGTAAGTGTTCAGTAATAATAGGCCTAGTGTAATGGTTAGAAGCAGTGGGCTCTTTAGCCAGACTGCATGGGTAGTTCTGACATCTACTAGTTGTGTAACATTAAGCAAGTTACTTAAACCTTACTTTCTTCTGTAAACTAAAGATTATGATTTGTATAGTACCTAGATCATAGAATAGGTGTACAAGTGAAATGAGTTACAGTTTTAAAATACAATAGTAGAATAAGGTAGAATAGTGCCTGGCACATAGAGCACATGTGTTCTTGTTGTTCTGTTATGAAATGCTGTTGAATGAAGGCATGAATCTTTGTGGTGGGAAGATTCCATAATTTTAAATTCCATTTTAGTTGCACTTGGGAAACACCAGATTCTCCTTGGAAAGAATAGGCTTTGGATTTTCTTGGGTTAGAGATTGCCACATCCTCCCTCACCTGCAGTAGGACAGTGAAGAGATGCTTGTCCTGAGGAGGGCTCCCACAAGAGCCAGTATACTCCCACTCAAAGTCCAGTCCATCAAACTCATACTGGTGCAGAAATTTGATGACCGAGGCAATGAAAGTCTGGTGGTTCTCAGAAGTGGAAACCATGGCAGTGAAGCTGAGGGAGACCCAAAGAAGGCAATGTGAGGGAACACCTTGGTGGTCCCAACACCCTGTGGTAAAATGAAACTTTTATATTTCTGCCTCAGAGCTCTTCATGGGGACCCACAACCCAGAAATAAGTATGGTTCCGGTTTTCTCTAGTCCTTACTTTGTAATCAGTAAGTACTCAGCCAGCCATGGGATTTCAGTGTTCCCTTTATTCTGTTATTAACCCAGCTCTGATTTTTCCCCCGCTAGGTTGCACTTGTTGCTTTGAACACTACCCCACCTCACAGTTCTCTCTCCAAATAGCCCCCAAAGTTCATATGCCCTTAAAGAAGTCTTCTTGTTTATTTGCATGACTTTCTCTTCTCTTCCCCCAGAAGATATATAGAAGTGCTATGTAGCACTCTCCACAGGGACTGTGCTTGTGAAATACTTTAAGAAGAGGTTGTTTTGCAATCTCAGTAACTAAACCTCTGTGAATGGAATCCCAGAATATCCATCTAAATGCAAACATGTAAAATAAATTGTGTTCTGCTTTAATATTGAGGTCTTGGTCAAGTAGTTTATTCCAGTACCCTATTTGTTTAATGTGTATCCTTCACAACCTGTCTTAGATTGTGAAGTGTAAAGGAACATAACTTGTTTTCAGTTGCAAAAGAACACCAGGCTCTCCCACAGAGGACTTATGGGGCAGTTCCAAAGTTCCAGCCTCCAATGGCCAGGAGAATTTTAAGCTGGCTGTTCCTATAAAGCAAAGAACAGAAAAGAGAAACTTCAAAATCCATGAGTCCTTTTATTTAAAATAACATTGCTTTGGCATTGAGCCTGGTCATATACTTTGATGTTGCCTTGATAAGACATTCTGTAGGATAATTTTCCTTCACTACTGAAAACTTTCTTTTTTTTAAAAGATTTTATTTATTTGACGGAGAGAGACACAGTGAGAGAAGGAACACAAGCAGGGGGAGTGGGAGATGGAGAAGCAAGCTTCCAGCCAAGCAGGGAGCAGAGTGCAGGGCTTGATCCCAGGACACTGGGATCATGACCGAGTCGAAGGCAGACACCTAACGACTGAGCCACCCAGGCACCCCTGAAGACTTTCTTTATAAAAATTGTGTTGTTAGCCAATACTTAGTATAATACTAAGTAAAATAAGTCAGTCCGAGAAAGACAAATGCCATATGACTTCAATCAGATGTGGAATTTAATAAACAAACAAAGAAAAAAGACAAACAAAAAACAAGACTCTTAAATATAGAGAACAAACTGGTAGTTGTCAGAGAGGAGGTAGGTGGGGGGATGAGGTGATTTATTGAGATGAAGGAGATTAACAGTACACTTATCATGATGAACACTGAGTAATGTATAGAATTGTTGAATCATTATATTGTACACCTGAAACTAATATAATGTTTTATGTTAATTATACTTCAACAACAACAAAAAATTGTGTTGTTATCATAAAGGCACTCAAAGTTCTTTGAGGAAATCCAAATTATGGGACCAGATTTTGTAAAAATAGCTATATGTTGGCAATAAGATATATAAAACTTAAAAACATAATTAAATCATATTCTGCTATAATCAGATGAAATGATAAATGTTGCTTGAGCATAATTACTTTCTCAGGCTCCAAGATAATGAATAGAAATCAATTGCTTAAAATTATGCACATTTTTCTTAAATAGTGTTTCTCAAGATTGGAGTGCAACAGAGTGGGAAAACATTAAAATTCTGGGTTTATAGCCCCTTTCTCAGAAATTCTGATTTGGCTGGGCTGTGGGAAGGATTGACATTTTTATCAGGTGCCTCCATGTGGTTTTGATGTATAGTCAATGGATCACACTTCAAGAAATACCACTCTGCAGGCATTTACTTCCTGTATTTATCATAACTTAAATTCTAATAGCTACATTCACGATAGTATCCCTACTGATGGTAGCAATGGTCTGTAGCCTTATTTCTCCTAGAAATAGCTTGACTGAGTAAATCAGAAATTAAAAGACACCAAGGTTGTTGTTTCTTTGTTATGCTTCATTGTTACACAACTAGAACTCTTAAAATACAGCAGACATTTCTGATTTGGGGGGCTCAGTGCTGTCTAATCTTCATTATCTTCCACCTCCTGCTCTCTGATGTGAGCAGCTAAGATGGCTTGCAGTTTCTTGGGTCATAAAAAAAAGAAATTGACAGGGAAAAGGAGAAATAGAACTGATATATTTTGAATGCTTGCTAGAGCAGACAATGTGCTATGTAGTCCATATCTTTGCTACTTAAAGTATAGCTTCCTGGACCAGAAGCATCAACATCAGTGGGGAGCTTGTTGGAAATGTAGAATCTTCGTCCTCACCTCAGACTCACTGAACCTGAACTCATTTTAAGAAGATCCCAGGTGATCTGTTTGCACATTAACGTTTGGAGAGCACCACCCTAGGAGATACCAAATGAGATATCTCCTCCATCTCTTACTTGTTTTTCAGGCCATTGAAAGCTTGGTAGAAAGCCACATCATCCCATTCAATGGTGGCGATCTCATTGTTCCTCATCCCAGCAAAGTCATAGATCAGGTGAGTACATAGGCAGGAGTCAATGTCATCAGGCTTGAAGTGCCCCAGGCCTGGCCAATACTGGGCCCAGTTAGTGAAGTAGCATGTCAGCTGGTAAGCGGAACCTGAGAGCAGTAAGAAGTAAGAATAATGACCTGATTAAGGTGCCACTGAAATGTGCTGTGGGTTTTGGCTCTGCCTCTGTTTCCCTCCCTTTGCCTCAATGCCTGATCTCTGTGTGGGGGTGTTTAATATAAATATTCTTGCAGATGAGTTCAAAGATCTAACTTGGGAACTAGTCACTGACTTGGAGTTAGTTATTTTTGGCTCCAGCAGACTCATTTGTGATGTTAAGCCTAAGAACCACTTAAGAAAAGATGTCCAGTAGTCCTGTGAAGCCCAGTGAATACCAATTTATAAATCCCAGTGGTCATGCTAAAGAGGTTAGTAGTAACAGCCAAACCAAAATAATAGGTTCTCTCAATATCAAACCTGTCTATGAAGTAGACAGTAGCTCTCTTTCCCTCAGATGGCTTATCTCTTGATATATTTTTAAAAAATACACTAATCAGACAATTGCATGATGAATAATTTATAGAGATTAGTGGTTTATGGTAGGAAAAGATTGTATCAAAGATAAAAGACAGAGTTCATGACTTACCTAGATGAGCATTCAGCAGAAGGGCCAGACCTAGAGGGAAAGAAAACACATGTATCCTGAATCAATTGTCTATACCCTGTGCAATTTGATTCTGAGGCCTTGAGCGCCATCCTATTTGTCATATGTTGTTCCAGCCCAGTGGCATGTAGGGATTATGCCCAAGAGTGGCTTGCTAGTGAAGGCACCAAGAGATCCAAACTTTCCTCCTCTTAGTAAAAAATGGCCATGGCACTCTCTTCTTCCACCTTTCATGTCAGTAATAAGTGTTACTGAATGCAGAGTTCACAGGCTACTATTTTGGAAGATCTACTGAATTTCTACTGAAATTACCCAGAATGTACTCTACTTAATGAGTACACATCCATCAGTGCTTCACCTCCCTGAACTGGGATGAGTAGAGCCTTCCACAGACAAGACATCCTCCAAAAACAGTGAATTCAATATCTCCTGGAGCCTGAGAATTTTCTTGGAGGCACTGTTTTGGAGCTCTTACAGTAGAAGAGAAGTACCAGGAACTGTGAGGCAAGACTTCAGATGCCTCTCCCTTGTTCTACCAGAGCACATCTGACTTGAGTGTTTTATAAATTGAGCTAGAGGTTTCATTTAGAAAATGTTCTGAAACTATAAAAACTTTGTAAATAATAGCTCTAGAACAACTAATAAACTGAGGATATAGCTTGGTTATAAATAATTTACTGACTTAACCCCTTTAAATTATTGAATTTCTAGCTGAGATTTTTATGATACATCAGCAACTCTGTAGGATAGAAGGAGATAAAAAAGGAGTAATGCTGAAAACGGTAGAACCAAGATAACTCACATCATTCCCTCTCAGTTCCTACTGATTTTCATCCCTGGAAAAGCTAGACCAAGGATTCAAGCATGTAAATAAAAATGATACCGATTAAAATAAGGTGGTGCAGGGGCACCTGGGTGGCTCAGTCGTTAAGCGTCTGCCTTCGGCTCAGGTCATGATCCCAGGATTCTGGGATCGAGCCCCGCATCAGGCTCCCGGCTTGGTGGGAAGCCTGCTTCTCCCTCTCTCACTCCCCCCTGCTTGTGTTCCCTCTCTCACTGTGTCTCTCTGTCAAATAAATAAATACAATATTTAAAAAAAAATAAGGTGGTGCAGGAAGATGAATGCAGAGCAAGAAACAATTGTTAAGGGATTAGAGAATAAGACAAGCATTGGAAGAAAATAAGACCTTTCTTTTAGCACCATGCCCATGGAATCAATGAAGGTAGAAATGTTATTAGAGTAAGGCTGAGAGTAGAGGAATAAGAGACAGACTGATCTGTATATGTCAAGATTCTCTTGGAAATTTGATATGATGGAAAAAAAGTGGAAGAGCCAGGAGGTATAATGTGAAGACTGCTTCATGGCTCTCAGATCCAGAGAGAAAAAGGAGTCAGGTGAGAGTAAGGCTCTGTCTCTGACTGCAGACTCACCTGCAAGGAGAGTAAGCTCTTCCATGGCTGTCATTGGTACTGGTCTAGCAGAGCCTGGATTTGCTTTTTTTTTTAAAAAAAGATTTTATTTATTTATTTGACAGACAGAGATCACAAGTAGGCAGAGAGGCAGGCAGGGGGTTGGGGGGGGGGAGCAGGCTCCCTGCTGAGCGGAGATCCCAATGCGGGGCTCCATCCTAGGACCCTGAGATCATGACCTGAGCCAAAGGCAGAGGCTTAACCCACTGAGCCACCCAGGAGCCCTTGGATTTGCTTTTTATACCATCTGAATCCCAGGTTATTGTAAGGGCTTCCAAGTGGAGAACAATGAATTCAGATGTGTATGTAGCTAATCAATAAATCAACAGATCCGCTCCCCTACAAACACCTCACCTTAGACCTGCAACCTATAGTCTCCCACCACCACCACTTTCTCTGCTCAATAAGAACAAAGCAATGCTATGACCCCTAACAAGGTGGTAGAGACCATCACAATGGAAATCACCAGCTTAATAGCTTTTATGGCAGTTCCCAGGGTTGATAAGCATCTGTTTAAACATTCTGGTTAGGTTTTTATGTTGTGGACATTTTGTCCCCGACATCAAAGCATATCTTTATTGGAAAGCAAATAATAAAAACCCTTAGAAGTTATTAGCTGTTTTTAAACCCTTTTTCTTTATGGAATTCTTCCTGTATAATTTGTACAATCAGTACAAACTTTCCGTCTTTACGTGCTACTTTCTGAACATTTTACCCACACCTGCTCTTTGGAATGACCTTAAGTCATGATTATATGATAATTTTTTCTAAGAATGTATGGTTTCAAAAATGTCCCCTCTGAAGGTCAGCAAAAACTCTCTAGTGTCCCATAGTTCCAAATTACATTCAGTTGATACTTTTGTGTTGCTGCTGGGTAGAGATGATGGTGATAATATTGAAAGGAGTCTCTTTTAATAGAAATATTTGCAGCTTGACTATGTCTAGATTTTTATATTTAAAATTAATTCCAATCTACCTTTCTTTTTTTTTAATTTTATTTTTTATAAACATATATTTTTATCCCCAGGGGTACAGGTCTGTGAATCGCCAGGTTTACACACTTCACAGCACTCACCATAGCACATACCCTCCCCAATGTCCATAACCCCACCCCCCCCCCCCCCCCCATCAACCCTCAGTTTGTTTTGTGAGATTAAGAGTCACTTATGGTTTGTCTCCCTCCCAATCCCATCTTGTTTCATTTACTCTTCTCCTACCCCCTTAACCCCCCATGTTGCATCTCCTCTCCCTCATATCAGGGAGATCATATGACAGTTGTCTTTCTCCGATTGACTTATTTCGCTAAGCATGATACCCTCTAGTTCCATCCACGTCGTCGCAAATGGCAAGATTTCATTTCTTTTGATGGCTGCATAGTATTCCATTGTGTATATATACCACATCTTCTTTATCCATTCGTCTGTTGATGGACATCTAGGTTCTTTCCATAGTTTGGCTATTGTAGACATTGCTGCTATAAACATTCGGGAGCACGTGCCCCTTCGGATCGCTACGTTTGTATCTTTAGGGTAAATACCTAGCAGTGCAATTGCTGGGTCATAGGGTAGTTCTATTTTCAACATTTTGAGGAACCTCCATGCTGTTTTCCAGAGTGGTTGCACCAGCTTGCATTCCCACCAACAGTATAGGAGGGTTCCCCTTTCTCCGCATCCTCGCCAGCATCTGTCATTTCCTGACTTGTTAATTTTAGCCATTCTGACTAGTGTGAGGTGATATCTCATTGTGGTTTTGATTTGTATTTCCCTGATGCCGAGTGATATGGAGCACTTTTTCATGTGTCTGTTGGCCATCTGGATGTCTTCTTTGCAGAAATGTCTGTTCATGTCTTCTGCCCATTTCTTGATTAATTCCAATCTACCTTTCTAAACATTATCCACTACCATTACCCTATAATAAATTTCTGCTTTGGCCAAATGGTCCATTTGTTGTCCCCAAACATGTATTTCATGCCTTTGCTTACACTATCTTTCCACCCTTTGCCTGTAACATCTTCTCCTTCTCCTCAGTCCTTATTTGCTTTCTCCTCACTGCCAATGTTACAGTTCTTCAAAGCACAGCTTAGACCCTCTCTATGAAGCTCGCTGATCTCTTCTTCCTCTGAAATACCTTATATACTTATTTTTGCAAGTGACTAATACCAACTATAACAAGCACAGATTGGCATTTTGGAAAATATGAGGACGTTCACAGAATCAAAGATAAGATAGTACTGTCTGTGAAAAGACAGAAATCAAGCATTTTAGGAGGTAGTGCAGTCAGATGAGGTCTTAGAATAAACCTTAATTTTATTTTTTTAACCATGCTTCATTCAACATAAGAATCAAAACCCCAGGAGAAATAGTCTGAGCTTTCATCAGACACTTGATTAGGGACAAAAACAGGACACTTGGATTCAAATTTCCATCAGGACTGATCACAAAATGAAATTCCAGGAGAGTGGAGGGCAAATACTGAGTGACTGAAAAACAATGAATGTTCATCTGAGGGTCTATTAATTATTTCATTTAACCTATGAAAACCATTATTACTCTTACCCCAATTTTGCAGATGAGAAACTTGATCAAACAAATCTTAAGCACCAGATCCAGGATTCAGTGCCAGGATAGCTGCCTCCAGAATGGAATTCTCTTAATCTTTACACACCACTGCCTCCTTATGTTTAGTTGGTGGTCCAGGTTGAACTGGGAAAGGCATTTTCCTGAGGCACTCAGGAGAATATGGTTGGGACAAAGAGCCAGAATTGTGTCGAATCAAGGTTAAGTCAAGGATTTGCAAAAATAGCAAAGTCTCAGGGTTATCCTCTTTGACACTATTAGGTCTAGCTGCTGTTTAGATTTAGTAAGATATTTTCTCTTGAATTTGGTGCCTCTTACCCTATATGAATGACCTGCGGGTAAATTATCCTTTCTTAATGGTTCCTTAAGGGCTCCGGGTGTGTCCCTATCAAGCCTGCCTCCCATGTGAGCACCTAAGTATTGAAAAGAATTATCAGCATAAGCTTTATAGAATAATAAAGATTTAAAAATGTGGCATTGTGTATCCTTTGATATTGTTAGATTTTTTTCAATAAGTCCTCATTATTTTTAGATTCTCAAATTTATGGTACAATGTACCACACACATGAGTTTAGATATGCATTTAAAGAAAAATTTTAAAATGAAAACCCCTGTTCTACCACCCAGCTTAAACATGATAATACTATCTTTGAGTATTATTCTGTGTGTCTCTACCCAGCTTGATGTTTCCCACTCCCCTGGAATAAGCAGCTATATGAATTTTGTGGTAATCATTTCTTTGCTTTATTTATAATTTTATCACATATGCCTATATCCCTAAATAATATATTCATTGGTTTTATAATTGTTTATTATAATAAGAATATCTTTATCAGTTTTATTATGTTCCTTAATTTTAACTTTAAGTGAAATAATGTCAAATGTATTCTTCTTTCTTCATTTTTTAGCTCAGCATTAAGTCTTTGGATTCATTCTGGATTCATCCAAGTTGTTACAGGTAGCAACTGTTCACCCATTTTCTTTTTTTAAAGAAGATTTTATTTATTTATTTATTTATTTATTTATTTATTTGAGAGAGAGAGAACAAGAGTTAGGTGGGACGGGCAGAGGGAGAGGGAGAAGCAGACTCCCCACTGAGCAGGTAGCTCAGGACCCTGGGATCATTACCTGAGCTGAAGGCAGACACCTAAATGACTAAGCCACCCATATGCCCCTGTTCACTCATTTTCATATCTGTATGGTATTCTATTATGTGAGTATGCTACAATTTACTTATCTTTCTACATAGAGCAACAAGTGGGTTGTTTCCAGCTTTTTCCCCTATATGCTGTTATAAGCATTTCTTAACATGTCTCCAAAGGCAAGGGAAATAAAAGCAAAAATGAACATTTGGGACTTCATCAAGATAAAATGCTTCTGCACAGCAAAGGAAACAGTCAACAAACCAAAAGACAACTCACAGAATGGGAGAAGATATTTGACACTACAGATAAAGGGCTGTTAATCTAAGATCTATAAAGAATTTCTCAAATTCAACACTTGAAAAACAAATAATCAAGTCAAAAAATGGTCAGAAGACATGAACAGACACTTCTCCAAAGAAGATATACAAATAGCTAACAGACACATGAAAAAATGTTCAACATTATGAGCCATCAGTGAAATTCAAATCAAAACCACAATGAGATACCACCTTATACCAGTTAGAATGGCAAAAATTGACAAGGCAAGAAACAAGAATTGGAGAGGTTGTGGAAAAGGGGGAACCCTCTTTCACTGTTGGTGAGAATGCAAGTTGGTACAGTCACTTCAGAAAACAGTGTGGGGGTTTCTCAAAAAGTTAAAAATAGAGCTACCCTATGATCCAGCAATTGCAACTACTGGGTATTTATCCCAAAGATTCAGATGTAGTAAAAAGAAGGGGTACACGCACCCCAATGTTCATAGCAGCAATATCCACAAAAGCCAAACTGTGGAAGGAGCCAAGATGCCCTTCAACAGATGATGGATAAAGAAGATGTGGTCCATATACACAATGGAATATTACTCAGCCATCAGAAAGGATGAAAACCCAACATTTGCATCAACATGGATGTAACTGGAGGAGACTATGCTAAGTGAAATAAGTCAAACAGAGAAGGATAACTATTATATGGTTTATTTGTGGAACATAAGGAATAGCTTTAATTAATTAACTAATAACATTAGGAGAAGGAAGGGCAAAATGAAGGGGGGCAATCAGAGGGGGAGATGAACCATGAGAGAGTTAATTAATTAACTAATAACATTAGGAGAAAGAAGGGCAAAATGAAGGGGGGCAATCAGAGGAGAAGATGAACCATGAGAGAATGTGAACTCCAGGAATCAAAATGAGGGTTTTAGAGGGTAGGGGGATGGGTGAGCCCAGTGATGGGTATTAAGGAGGGCACATATTGCATGGAGCACTGGGTGTTATATG